ATGATAATAAATTATTGTCAACAAAAGATGATTCAGAGCAAAGATTGTTTGTCATACAGTATTACTAGAATATTTAAAGATATTGTTACTAAACTTAATATGTTAGTGGTGATGGTCACATATTGTAGTTTAGACWATAATATTTAAATTATATCATTTACACTTTATGATCTTTATTTTTGACCTTAGTATCAAAAATAGTCTATAATGACACGCATTGGAATTCAATTGTACTTTACGAATGCATAAAGCATGATAATACTTTATAGCAGTGTTATTTAAGTTATAACATTAATGACTTGTATAAAAAAAGCTTATTAGCACTTTTCTTATACTCAAATAACAAAAACATAGACAAGTCAATTTATAAATCATGAATTTATTTATACATTTTAAATATAAATTTAAATATAAATATAGATATTATAATTTAAAATTTAAAAAAAGTAAAAACGCACATCATTAATTAATAATTTAATAAAATAATATCAAGAWAATTATGAAAATTATAAAAATAAAAATTATAAAATTTAACTCTTTTCTAAGGGATTTTAATAATATGTATACCTAAATGTAGCTTTAATGTAGTTAACCTAATTCTCATTATAAAAAACTAAAATAAAATAATAATTAAAAAATTTTAGTGATGGCATTATTTCTGAAATTTGGAAGGTATACGACTTTCTGCACACTTTCTGTTTGATGAATTAGATACATCAGATAATACAGGAACTCCTGAGAATTTTGGTATGGTTTTTTTTTGTTTAACACTATCATTAAGAGATGATAGTGATGAACTATTAAATTCATCATTTTTAAATAATGGTCTGTCAGTGACTTTGCAAGGTATTTTACTTTTTACTAAAACTTCGGGTTTTTTTAGAGTTAAAGGTTTAGTAAAATCATCATTTTCTTCAAATTTGCTAAAGTTTAATTTCTGATAGCATCTCCCTGATTTTAAATTGTTTTCTTTTGTGTTATTTATACATGATGGCTGTTTTTCACTACTCCTGAACATATTTTTAATTTTATAGAGCATTGACATTGGCGTCTTCAGAATTTCAGTCTCTACTTTCATTTTTTTTTCGTTATTATCATATTCTTGAGTCGTCTCTATTTTTCTCTTATTATCTTCTTGTACATTATCCAATTCAATACTATGAAAAGAATCGATAATTGAGCTTTTTTCTGGCGATTCCATAAGGAGCGATTCATCGTTCATTTGTATATCAGTTAACAATTCTGTGTTGTTATGCAAAAAAGTAGATTGTTCCAAGTGTAAAGTTGTGCTATTTATTTCATCAGAACCACCATGTATAGATTTTTCAGATTTATTATCTAAAGTTATGGGTATTATTGGATTTTTAGATAAAACAGTTGATTGTTCATCAGATTTAGAAACAAAAGTCATTTCAATTAGGTTAGAAACATTTCTATCAGATGTTATATCAGTATTGGTTTTTAACTCAAGATTTTCCAATATTTCTTGGTCAATAATGCTAAAATCCACAATGGCACGTTCATTTGAGTTAAAATGCTGTTGTTGGTTTGAATCCATTTGAGACTCAGCAAAATCAATTTTTACGTTAGAAGTAGTATTTGATAACATTTTAAAATCTGATTTTTCTGCAGTAGTAGATGCTTCGGCCACACAATGTTCATCATTAACAGTTTCGTGTATTGACTTATTTAGTTCAATTGTTTGATTTAAACAGTTAGATGGCTCATCGGCAACAATCTGTTTGTTGATCAAAATCAATGGTTCCGAATTAATTAATTCTGTTTTATTATTTGCACAAGAATACGGAGACAAGTTTAAATTTGAATCAGTAATTGTTTGATCAAAAGATGAGTTACTGAAATTAGATGTATTTGTTTTAATAGATTCATCAACCAATAATTCAAAATCAGGAGATGAAATTGATGATACATTTTTTGTTGAAGAATCATGGGTAGAGTTTTGAAAATCTTTAAAATTAATATCATCTTTTGCTACTACTTCTGAATTCCATATTTGATCAACTGCACTAAAATTTATTAAGCTCTCATTGTTGATAACATTTTCATTTTGATGTATTTGTTGGGTGCTTTTTAATATTGGTGTTGGATCAACAATACTAAAATTTAATACCTTTTGTTTCTTTAGTTGATTGTCAAAAGTGGGAGTTTGTTGGACGATACTAAAATCCAATATTTTTAGTGTCTTCGGAGTTTTATRYTCCACTTGTTTCTCTTTTTTATCGTCTCCAAAATTCAACAACCTTTCTTGATTTATAAATTCTTCTAAACTATTATCAATATTTTTAATTGTATCCGATAATTTTTGTTGTTGATTAT